TCTTCAAACTGTGTATTATAGTTTTTTGATAGTTAGTATTGTTAATGGTTAGGGTAATCAGTTACAGTCCCTGTTAGGATGTTATTCCCGGGATGGGACATGCCCCAACCCCTGGATTTCAAGCCATACTCTGTTTGTAATAAGCTAATGCTGGTTAGTGACCCTCCATTCAAGCTATTTGAAGAGCCGGGGGAAGAGCATATAAAAGACAATTGCTGAATTTGTAAAAACCTTAAGCCGAGGATCCAAAAGAACAGGAACTTAAAGGCATTATTAATGTAGACAACTCTTAGACCGGTGTCAGAGTCCTTCTGGTCTGACTGAGCACGTCTGGTGCCGGACTCCCCATGGCATCACTTGCCATCACCGGTGTCCATGAAGTGCAAGAAGCAGAGGGGGTACTGCCCAACTTCTAATAAGGACAAGGCACTATTAGCAGGCAAAGGACCCATAGCTGGCCACCTGTCTGTACTTGAAAGCCAAGGAGTAGCCACCTCTAGAGCCTCTAGCTCAGAGGAAGTTCCTGGGCTGACTTCTGGGAGTGATGGGGGCACAGTTGATGGTGCATTTGATGCCAGAGGTGGTGAAGGACCCCATGGTACTGCCTACACTAGCGTTTCTCAACCTTTTTTTATAAAGTACCCCCTCTTAAAAAAAAAAAAGTACCCCCAGTACCTACAGTTTTCAGACACGCACAATTTTTTTCTGCCATTGCAACACATTTGTTTAAACAACTTAATTGTAGCCGGGTGGTTGATGACTTCTCTCCAGTACTCCTGAGGGTACTTGTACCACTGGTTGAGAGAGACTGGTCTACACCATGGGACTTCCACTCATTGGCGATGACAGAAGTTCTGCCTTCTAGGGGGAAGCGTATCATGGGCCCACCCCATTGGCCACTCAGGTGCCATTAATCCCTGAAGATTTGGCACCAGTCTGTCAAGGTTTGTGTTCTCAGAGGATGTGATTCATCACGAGCGAAGCTTCAGTCTCCTCAGCATTGACCTGCATCTTACAGACAGCAGTTGCCATTGCCTCAGCATGGGTCACTGATGTGAACATTACCCACATCTGTCTGCAGCCCACTGACTCACCACCATCCTGCCATCGCTCTCTGTCTCCGTGGTACCTGTCCCCATGTCACTGCGAATCACCATTAACTTGGCACCGTTCTCCAGCCTTGAGGTATGGGTGGCAGAGGTAGGCTCTGACATCACCTGCATGAGTCTTTCCCAGAATCTGAAGGGGGGCATGACCTTCAGCCCTTGGGGGAACCATTCACTGGGAGCACCGGACATGATAGGCTCTGCACTTAAGTGCCTGGCCAATCTAGTGATTTTATTAGAATCCATGGGGTCACCCCATGATGCCAAGGCCATGCTCACAGCATTTCCTGGTAGGGCCCTCCAAGAAGTGGTCTGTGGTATTATTGGCACTGGGACTGGACCCGGAAATGGATTCTGACTCTGGCACCAGACAACATGTGTGTGTGGCCCAGACCCTCCCCCAGTTATACTCTCCTCCCCGTTGTCCCCTGATTAGGCAGACATGGATCCATATCACCCATTGTCTTCCAATGATTTTAGGGGCCACCAAGAACTGCTTAACAGTGTGGCAGCAAATCTGGGCCTACAGGTTGAGGAGCTTGCAGAACAAGCATGTTGTCTATTTGACATCTTGGCTATCACAGCACCTACTAAGGTGGCACTACCTGCACATGAAAGGGTGCCTAATGTAAAGGCACTTTTGCAAGCCCCATCCTCTGCCACCTATATCAAAGAGAAGAAAAAATATGTGCCCATCAAAGGGTATGCATACCTATACTCTCCCATTCTCTTGTATCAGTGGCAAACAAGAGAATTGTAAGAGCCATGCCTAAAATTAAGGATGCAAAAAAGTTGGACCTCTTTGGACGGAAAATTCGACTGCAAACCTCTCGATGAGGATATCTAACCAGCAGAGACTGCTGCATAGGTACAATTACAACTTGTGGGACTTACTGGCAAAATGTGAAGGTTCCCTGCTATAGGACCTAGGTCAGGAGTGAAGGGCCTCCTTCAGACTGATTTGGATATAGTGGACTCTGCAGCAAGTCCATGGCTATGGCTGTGTTGGTGGAATTCGTGGCCGCAGTCCTTAGACTCTCTCTGGAGGAACAACAGTCCATCCAGGACCTCCTAGCTGAGGGCAGTGCTCTGTTCTGAGTGCAAGTAGATGCCAGGCTGCACAACCTGAAAGACTCCTGTGCCATACTCTGCTCCCTGGGGCTTTACATACCATAGACCTCCAGGAAGTCATTCTGGCATTCTCCCCTACCACTGAAGGTCTTTGACTCCTTGAGACAAGGCCCTTACAGGAGAAGAGACAGCAACAAGGGCTTCAAATGCTGTCGTTCCATCCCTTCATCCTCAAGCCCAATTAGACTCTGCATTGCTCAGATGCCTCAAGACTGGCATTTTGAGTGTGTGCCTGAGGATGAAGCACCAGACTTACTGGCTCCAGCCCTTCACCCCTGTTTATTTTTCAATTGTTTATTCCCTTGCTTTACTGTATGGTTTCAAATTACTTCGGACTGCTGGATGTTCATTCTGGGTACACTCTGCAATTTTCCTTCGTCCCTCCCTATTCCTTTCAGGAACTGTTCTCTGAGCAAAGCCTCAGAGGCGCGGGACTCCCCCGCGGCTGCGGCTTCAGTCCGGGAGCCTGTGGTCTGCTCTGGCAAAGCCTCAGAAGCGCGGGAACCCGCCCGGGGGCCCCGGG